TAGATGTTCATTGAAATGAAAAATAAAGAACCTAAATTTAAAAAAAAAAATAATTTCAGGAACAATTAAGATACACTTAAGATAAAAAATTTAAACATAGAAATAAATTTCTTCTCAAAATTTAGGTAACATGTTTTCATTTGGGGAGAAAATTATAGGTAATCAATTTCTGTCAATTAATTTTAACTTAAACAATTGCCTAAGGATAAACAAGATCACATGATATTTCAAATTACATTTATTTCAATTCTGTTTTCAAACTTTTTATATCTTGATACTCACATAAAATAGCACATAATCATGCTGTAGTTAAATGTTGTATGTAAAAAGTTTAATTAAAAACTAAAAATACAGTCAACTATTATATGATCAATAGCTAACTCAATTTAACATAATTTTGAGATATCAAATACTGATGGTTTAGAAATCTAAGACTAATATTCCTTTAGGGAATTTAATAACAAATTTTATTCTCATATTACAGATTTCATTTTGTTGATATAGACTCCTGTGAAACCTTTGAGAGCTACAACCAGGGACTTGCCTTGTTTTTCCACTTCTCAGATTTTCCTCCATTGACAAAGACAGCATCACCCCTTTTTTTCTCCACTGGTGCAAAATATTTGAGCTTTCTTTTTTGTCAAGTTTCTGCGTTATACAGGTTATTGCTTTCCTAGGTTTTACCCTTCTTAATTGAATTCTTTCTACCTTATGTCTATAAAATTCCATCTTGTGTCTATAAAAGTAAAACTGTCCTTAATCTTCCTAAATTCTGTTTCCCAAAGTCACTGTTAACTCTTTTTATATGTTAAGAACTTACTAAATCATAAGTTTAGAATCAGTGGCATATGTCTTTTATGTAAATAACATAACAAATTCAATGTTTAAGTACAGTAACCAGCCACACATAAGAGGTAGAAATCTTGATCACAGTTTTGTAGAAAAGTTGCAGTAGTTTATCTGTACCCTACTCTATAAATTATGATACTTTAATTAAAGTTGCTTCTCATTAATAGAAGGGGCGATATTGATTCTGTTTTACATGTGTTACAGGGACTATGCCAAAATCCCTAAAGCATTTTCCTGGCAAATTAATCATTCATTTAGCATTTGCTTCAGTTTTAAAAAGCCTCATGCCAGGGAAATCTAAGCAGCTCTTCTCCCAAAAGACTAAAGAAGAGGTAACTATTTTTATCTACTGTTTCTCTAGGTATCATTATTGCTTATCAAGAATTCTAGTAGTATAATCAGCAAATGGGTTCTATACCCAAATTTATTATAAAATGATTGTTTCTAATATATTTTTATCATATAGAATATTACAAATCATCTTAACCTAAAAGTCCATTTAACTCATGATACAGTTAAAATACTAGTAATTGAATAAGACGCCATAGACTTTGATAAATGAGGAAAAAAGCAAAGATAATTTTATGTGTATGTGTGTTATTCATATATTAGTGCTTATAACTTGAGAGGTTATCTAATCCTTATGTTCATATCAAATTGATATTTAAAAAGTTAGAATTAAAACAATAAGTAAGCATATACTCAGTGCTGAAACTTAATGAAAATCTACCTGCATACTTTATAAAAGATAATGCAAAAGAAAATGAAATAGCTAGGATAATAAACAAAACTCAAATATTAAGATTCTCCCAACCCAGTTAATTGCAAATGCATTTCCTCAGAATTAATTTAAAATTAGACTGACATGATTAGCCAATCATTTAGATTATAGACATTTATTTTTGGTTTTTGTGTAAGTGAACTTTATTTTCATCAGATAAGACTCTTAAGTATATCTAAATTATTTTTGTTTTTGAGAGCTTGGAAAAGGAGATACATTAGGTCCAGAACCCTGCAGCAGTATTTCCTATTGATAACAGTGTATTACTGAGTTAGTAATCATGCTAAAACTAACATAACACTTTACACGTGATATAAAAATAAAACTGTCATTTTCTCACATTTAAAAATTCCATACTTTAGTTAAGGCTAGGAATATTTGTGTCCTGACAGAGACTTTTGACCAAATTCTTCAGTGGGAAAATATGTCCTAATTTTAAGGATGGAAGTATAATGTTTCAAAAAGTATAATATTTTTAAAATTATCAAGAAAAAAAATTATCAGAATGTCAGCTTTTGAGATATAGGCCCACATATATAAAATTAATTCTTTTTACTCATTTTTACAGTGATCACATTTACATTAAAAAATTTCCAAAATGTAACTTTTTCAAAGCTGTTTCTGTTTATAGTACATGAGAGGCATATATATACAGGGCAAGTTGAGAGTTTTGTCTTCTAAACTTATATTCAAGCAATAATTAGGTAATTCACAAATGACATAAAACTTATTAATATACTGAAAGTGTCTATATAATTAATTTGAAATTGCCCCATTAAAAGAGAAACTTCTGGATAAAAAGCTTTTAAAAACAGATCACTTGGGTGTGCCCACAGGCCCAATTTTCAATTTTCAACTACTTAAATCACTTATGGAGAAAGATGGGCAGTCTCCTCCCATGCAATTTACAGCCTCTGAAAACCCACTGTAGGGTCAGTATGTGTGGGTTCTGACTTGAAGACAATGAGCTAGAAAACAAGTGATGACATTTTCAAAACTTTTCAAATTTAAGACAACAGTTACTAATATGGCTTCATTCAATTATACTTACTCTGACAAAGTATTTAGTACACACTAAGTTCAACCGGATGAATAAGATTCCTTGTGCAGACAAAAGTAAAAACTTTTCCTTTCACATTAAATTCTCCTTGTTTCACTCTTACGCCAAAAACATTTTTAAAAGACTATTGACTGTAACAGTTTATTGCATTTTCCACCTCTGTTTTTCAGTGTAAGTACCCTAGTTTGGCGTTTTAAGTTCTACTTTTCCTCTTATCTTCAAATAGACTCTTCAGCATATAAACTTGGATGGCTGACACCACCACCATGACCACTAAATTAACCATAGACCAGAAATTGACTCTGTCAAAGTTGCTTTCTTGTATATTTCGATCACGGGCTTCAAAGGCTCGAAGAAGAGTCTGGATATGACCACTTTTGCTTAACCTGGACTTGATGCTGTTGATGGATTCCTAAAGATAAAGAAAGTAATTTTTCTATAAAACAGTGTTCAGTTATTTAACTTAATTTTAAAATATATTGCAAGTACCTTGATAATAATTTTATATATTCATACATAGAATAGACAAGGTATACAGTTTGATTAATTTTGACAGGTCTTAGAATTACCTAAAGGACTTCTGCAGAGTTCCGATTAAATTATTGCCCATAAAAAGTGATTAAACAAAAGAACAAAGCTAGTGTTAATGGAAAATGGATAATATAAAATTATATTTTAGTGGCATAGTACCAGAAACTTTACAGGCAGTATCTCCTCCTTAACTTATAGGAAAGCACTGTTGTTGTTGAGTACGATAGAGTCAGAACCAACCCACAACTGACCTTATAGTGGGTTTTTAGAGGCTGTTAATGTCCTATGGGAAAGGACTGACCATCTTTCTCCCAAGGAGCAGCTGGTACCCTTGAACTTTGTGCCTTTGGGATTGTAGCACACCTTCTTGCCACAAGGCCACCAGAGCTCCCAAGAAGAAAACATTATGTTTTAAAAAACTTTATTGATAATAACTTTTACGTGTTACATAATTCACTGTATATAACAGTTTCTTTAAATTTTAGTATAATCCAATTCAGTATCTAGCAAAATACCTCATGGTTTCATCTTACAAAAAGAAATTGGAAAATATTTTCCTTTTAGATGTGCATACTATCCAAGCAAAAATGTAACAATACAAAAAAGTGTTCTAAAATCACATTCTGGAAAGGCTCCCAAGTTGTATTCTAAGTTGCACTACATCTTAAAAATTATTTTTCTTAATCAGGTTTTTGTGAGATTAAAGTAGCTTCAAAGCTAAAAGTAATATATTAAGTTTAGAATCAAATTGATATCAAACTATTTATGGCAAAAGAAAGTACTAGAAAGAATATAATAATCCTGCTGGAAATCTTCAATTAAGCAAAAATATACTCAAAAGTTTTTAGAAAGTTCTAAACCTATACAGAGTTTAATATTTATCATATGGGCATGTTTCTAAGAAATGGTAACCTGATACTGAAAACATTTCCCCCCAAAACAGGAATTGGGATTTAGATCCCCAAAGAAAATGTACAAGTAAATGTTATTATCTTCATGGTGATCACCACCCAAAGCCTTTGAATTGGTTCTGACTCATAGCAACCCTCCACTGGGTTTCCAAGCCTGTGAATCTTTGCCCATCTTTCTCCTGCAGAGCACCTGGGTGATTTGAACTGTCAACCTTCTGTTAGGAGCCTGATAAGTTTCACACACTATGCCACCAAGACTCCTTTTTATGGTGATAGTGAAAAGTGAAATTATTCAAATCTGTTGGTTTGAGGGGACAAAAAAAGTTGGAAGAAATTTTGTTTATCTTTAGGAACAGGTATATAAATTACATGTTGTTAGGTGCTGTCAAATTGATGCAAACTTATAGTGACCTATGAAAAACAGATCAAAACCTTGCCCTACCTATCTGGTCTAATCCTCATAATCTCCACTGTGCACAAGCATATTGTTGGAGTCACTCTGTCATTAATTCATATCCTTGAAAGTCTTCCTCTTTTTCACTTAAATCTAAAATATTCACCATTTTGTTTATTTATGTGGATGAAATCAGTTTGTTAAAGCAGTAAATGGAGTGCTGTACAGATAAGATTCAAAACTACTTATATTTTGTTAGAATATATTTAAGATAAAGAACTACTCTTGTCACTAAGCTTTTAAAAACTGAGGGGGAATAAAATAGAAGTGGAACTGTTGTTCATGGGGTCACCAAGAGTCTCGGTTGGCTCAACAGCACCTAACAACAACAACAACAACAACAACAAAAGAAGTGGAACTGAGGGTAGACAATTTACATTTTAGACTAGTTCTTACATACAACAGGTTATATTAAAATGCTATTTGGACTCTAGGAGGATTATTTAGCACACAATTTCCTCAGTGGAAAAATCTGAGATGATAAATCTTGGAGTTAAATATTAGATGAGATAATGTAGATAAAATGTTTATTACAAAGTTAGCTCTCATGATGTAATTTTTTTTTTTTAATTAAAACACCATACTGACCAGAATATCTTCCAGTTTCATATCCAACATATCTGTGCCGGTAATATATTTCTTCCAGTCTTCTTGTTCTTGCTCCTGTTCTCCCATATTATCCAGGATTAGTTCAAAGAAAATCACCTTCTCAGAAATGGTACTGAATGTATTGTCAAAGCAGAACATGTAGTCACCAACTTCGGTCTCTATCCTGTAATCAAAAGTACATGTTTCCAGTTATCTGTACTTCTATTTGGGAAGAAAAGAAAAAATTTAGATTTTAAAAAAACCTACCTAGAACATGATTTATGGCTACTGATTTACCTTTCAATTAAAAACTGATCCATAAACTGAGGTTTTAAAAAATAGTGATAGGCTGCAATATGTGATTCCTCCCAGCCCCCTACTTTGTAATGTACTTTACAATGTCAGGAATGAGGTCTGGGGCCAAGAACCAGAGCTTTATCCTTAGTGGCCTACGTGGTGTTGTGATCCTGGAAACTATGCCACTAATATTTCAAATACCACTAGGGTCAGGAAAGTTTCAAGACTAAGATCGACTAAGAAATAGGAATGGCCATCTACTTCTAAAATACCAGGCTTTTAAAAACCCTTCTGGATAATGGAAGAACACTGTTGGATGTAGTGCCAAAAGATAAGCCTCTCAGGTTGGAAGGTACTCAAAATGTGAACAGATCAAAACCTTGCCCTACCTATCTGGTGTAATCGTCATAAGCTCAAGCCCACTGTTGGAATCACTGTCATTAATTCATCTCCTTTAAGGTCTTCCTTTGCTTAAATCTAAAGTGACTGGTAACTTGATATTAAGGAGCTCAATATCACCCATGAGGAAACTATTTTGAGCTTTCTCAAAGTAGAGTCTACTATAATGATACAAGGAAAGTGTTTACCATGAAGAACTTTTCATTTGCTCATTTGGCAAGACTAAAATGAGGCAAAACAGTTGCACACCTCTATTAGTAAGTGGAATGTATGAAGTATGCATCCAGGAAAATGGAAGTTGTCAAAAATCAAAGCAAAGAGGTCAACATCTTTTTTTTTTCCTTTTTGGTTGTGTGTTTTTTTTTTAAAGGTCAACATCTTACGCATCAGTGAGCTGGCATGAAATGGTAAAGGCACTTTTTAATCAGACAACTTTATGATCTATTATGCCAGGAATAACAAAGTGAAAAGGAAATATGTGGTAATTATTGTGAAAAAAGAGCATTTCAAGATCTATCCTGAAGAGTACAATGCTGGGAGTGATTTGATACACAATCCATATTCATATGAGGAAAACCAGTTAATATAATTCTTCAAATATACGCTCCAACCACTAATACCAAAGATGAAAAGGACTGCTACCAGCTTTGCTGTTTGAAATTAATCAAACATGCAATCAAGATGCATTAATAATAACTAGTGACTGGAATGCAAAAGTTAGAAACAAAGTAGTTGGAAAAATATGAACTTGATTAAAAAAAGGCTGGAGATAGAGTGATATGATAGAATTTTGTACAATAAGTTATTCATTGGAAATACCTTTTTAAAAGAACATAAATGGCAAGTCTATCGATGGACTACACGGGAATCAGATTGATTATGTCTATGGTAAAAGTAGATAAAGAAGCTCACTAACAGCAATCAAAACAAGGCCAGAAGCTGACTGGAACAGACCAACTACTCATATGCAAGCTCAAAGTGAAGGTGATTAAAATCAAAACACAACCCTGAGTTTATCACAACTAAATTTCAAAACTATCTCAAGAATAGAATAAGCACATTGAACACTTATGACTGAAGACCAAATGAGTTGTGGAATGACATCAAGGGCATCGTCTATGAAGAAAGGGAAGCTCATTATAAAGACAGGGAAGAAAAAAAAAAGACCAAAATGGATGTTAGAAGAGACTCTGACAGTGGAAGAAAAGAAGTCAAATCAAGGGTGAAGGAATGAGGATGTAAGAGTTGAAAAGATTTCAAAGACAGCTTGAGAAGACAAACTATTATAGCAAAATGTGAGTTGCAATGCTGATGGATTCTATGAACAAAATTTTGAATGAAGCATGAAGCAACAAAACACTGAAGGAATAAAAAGTCACTGTACCAGAAAGAAGTGGTTAACAATGAACCACATTTCAGGAAGTAGCATAAGATGAAGAACCAGCGGGGAGAAGGGTGCAACAATGAATGAATGGAATTCCAAAATCTCTGTAGATGTTCACTGAAATGAAAAATAAACTAAATTAAAAAAATAAAATAAAAAAAAAGATGAAGAACCAACAGTACTTAATGAGGAAGTCCACGCTACACCGAGGCACTGACAAAAATAAGATCATAGGAATCAAAAGAATAACTGAGGTGTTTAAGGAAACAGATGCAGCCCTAGATGTGCTTACCAGTCTCTACCAATAAATTTGGAAGACACCTATGTGGCTAATTGACTGGAAGAGATTCACTTGTTCCATGTCAAAAAAGACAATCTAACAGAGTGCTGAAATTATCAAACAGTATCATTAATATCACATGCAAATAAAATCTTGCTGAAGATTATTTAAAAATGGCAGAACAGTATATCCCAAGGGGACTTCCAGAAATTCAAGCTGGATTTGGAAAAAGCATTGGAACAAGGGATATTACTGCTGATCTCTGCTGAATATTGGCTGAAAGTGGAGAATAGCACAAAGATGTTTACTTGTTATTATACTGATTCTACAAAAGCATTTGACTGTGTGGATCATAACAAATTATGGGTAATGATGAAAAGAACGAGAGTGATGAGAAACCTACACTTCTACACTTAGACCAAATAACCAGTTTTCTGAACAGAACAAGGTAACACTGCAGGGTTTAAAATCAGGAAAGGTGTGTGTCAGGGCTGTATCCTTTCTTCATACATATTCAATCTATATGCTCAGTAAATCATTTGAAGCTGGACTATATGAAGAAGAAATGTGGCATCAGGATCAGACTAAGATTCATCAACAACTTGCATTACGAAGATGACACAACCATGCTGGCAGAAAGTGAAAAAGTATATACTACAAAAGATCAAAGACTACAACCTTCTATATGAGTCACACCTTAATATCAAGAAAATAAAAATCCTCACCATTGGATCAATAGGAAATATCATAATCGTTGGAGAAAAGATTCAAGTTAATGATTTAATTTGTCAGTTTAAAGACCGGGGTATGCCTGATGCAAGCCCTGGTATTTTCTCTTTTTTTTATTTTATTATTTTTAAATTTTATTAGTTTTAATGAACATTTACAGAAACTTTAGGTTTTAATTCATTCATTGTTGCACTATTTTCTCCACCCTCCTCCCCAGTCTGTTCTTCTTCCCCTGCCATCCGAGTGTCTGTTTTAATTGTCCAATTGCCACAGTGCTTGTCAAAGCCAGTTCTGATTAATCTCCTTTGTCAGTGTGTCCTTTGCCATTCCCTATCACTCCT